CTCTGCCTCATTGATTTCCTTTTCTTTAGTTGCAATTGAGGCCTCAGCAGCATTTTCAGATGGTTTATCATCAGCTACTGCTGTTGAGGCAAGCTTACAGCTTGCAGTAGCTTCTCCTATTTCAGCCTCTGCTACATTTTTTGGGAGGTCTTCACTGCTTGCTTCTCCCACATCTTCTGTCTGCATTTCTTTCTCTTTACTCTCTTCCCTCCCACTGGAGCCCACATTGATTGAGCACTCGCAGTAATAATAACCAGATTCCTGCTTCTTCTTGCGCATGGCACAGAGATCAATCCGACTGAAGAGCTCTGTGCCAAAGGGGCTGTCCTCGTATTCCTTATACAGGTCTGCACAAATTTTCCTGAAGCCCTATTTATTCAAAGAGCAAGATGACATTATGTGTATTATATAGGTGCACAAAAACTCATGCACTTTAGGTAGGTGTGTCAAGTACTACCTTAACAAAACCCAGCAAAGAAAACACCACCCCACCCACCTCACACCTAATTAGGATAACAGCATCAACTTCATGTGGTAGTATTTAAGTTGATACTGAGAAAAGCCAGCCATTACAAATTAAAGTTATGGGAAGCTTGGCTTTTGCCCAATCCTCCATCTACCCTACCCTCCTCAAGAATAAAAACATGCCAAGTATACAAATTTAACCTACTGTTATTTAAATGCAACCACCTAATTTTAGATACTTCAGGGAAGTTCACAGCTACCATATATAATTATTCTGAATTGCCTTTAGGAGGGATTGCTTGATTTCAGCTAGAGTTCACCTTACTCAATTTCATCTTAAAGCTGTCTTAGCAGACTGAAAAATTAACCCTCCTCCTTGGTGCTCACTCTCCACAACAGTAATTAAAATGTTTGCTAAAGACAGGTTAGAAATAGAGTTCATGCACCTTCATCCCTGTGAAGAAATACTCAAAAGAAATTTAACTCGATGACTAACTGGGAAAACATTCCAGCAAGGCAGAAAAGAAAAAGAAAACCTCAGTAGCTCTTAGATAGCTACCAAGCACTGTCAGTATCTCAATTGCCAAATGCTACAACAGTCGACACACAACTGAAAGGGGACACTCCTAGAGATGTGTTTTTAAACACTGACACTTCTTTTCAGCCTAGGAAAGCATGTGCTTTGATACGGCAATATAAGTGACTTTCCTTAGACACCAAGTTGACTAAGGAAAGTAATTTCTATTGCCATATCAAAGCACATGCTTAGAAATCATATGACTGTCAAGACCAAAAATCAGCAGCTCCACAGAGTGATTTCTTTGCTCTTCTCCCCCTCAACAAGTTTGTGCACAGCAGCACTAGCTGCCCTGTGCAGGTGTCACTGAGGATGGATGAGAAACCCAACAATTCCATGGTTCCCAGGCCTTTAATTCAGACAGAAACAGGCTGCCAATTTATACAAGGGGCTCCCACAAAGCATTTAGCCTATAGCAAACCACATATGCTAGGGGCACATATGGAGATGTAATGAAGGACAGATGAATCATTAAACAGACAATAGTCTCCACCTCTCCTAACGTAATGACTCTGTGAGTTAACAAGGCTCCAAGGAGCTCCTTGCAGCACATTGCCTCAAAGAATTCTCAATCAGTTTGTTCAGACCTGCTCCCAAACACCAGGGGAAGAAAAAAAAAGAGCATTTTTTACAAGATTTCTTCCTCATAATGACAGACTTATTAGCAGGTGGATATGTACAGTTCACGGCATGGAGATTGTGGGAGGACAGCCAGAACAGCCAGTGTCACCTAGGTAGAAGCAGATATAAATAGCTTCATAACCAAACACATCAAACCATCAGGCACTGCTGCCTGAGGTGACTAAAACACTTGAAAGTTTAAATAAACCAACAGCACACTTTTTCTGTGCCCCAGAGATGCCCATGTGTCAGTCAGAGGCAGGCTGCTCAGGAGCCAGGAGCTGCTGTCACCCAAATGCCATGAGGTTCAAGTTCTGCTGAAATGCAGAGACACACTGCGCATGGGCTGTTTTCTGGGTAATCCAGGAGGATAATGGAAACCTGAGTAAGGTCACATCATTGAAGATAACTTATCAAGCAGCCAGAAGAGGGCAGGATTAGGACTGCCCTTCCATTAAAAAGCACCAAATATTTTAATACAAGTATGTGACTTGTTAATATTTGTTAAAGAACGTACTCTCTCACAACCCAGGGTAGTCCACAGCTATTTCTACACCTGCACCAAGTGAATCTACTTAGAACAGCATAAAAGGGAACAAGCAAACATTTTCCACTTTAGCACAGAGGCACTTGATCCACCACTTTGCTCTGGCAGAGGTGAGAGCAGGCAGTGCCCAGCACTAAAGGCTAACAGCCCGCACTGTGTTGCCTGTGTGCTGAGAAGGCTCTTACAACAAGTAATGAAGTGGATTCTCTTAAGAGGTGAACTGTTTCCTTTTGGCTCATTGGAAAGGTAGAGATCAAAACACCTGAAGAGCCCATATTTTTTATTTATGCCAGGGTCACACTGCCCATTTTGAACCTGATCTTCAAACAGCACATACTGCTCCTTCGGTAGCTATTCAGAATAAAAAGCACACAATCCAAGATCTCTCCAGCCTCTTGGGATATTTAGACACACAACTAAAGCCAAAGATGCACAGCTTCTCAAGGTGCAAGTTTACAGCTGTATCAGTTTTAAAGAGAACCAGCTGCTCTTCCCCCACAAATGAGAACAAGGTCTGCAGCTACATCACCAGTATCATCACATACCTCTTATTAACAAAGTGTACTTGAGATGTAAAATATAAACTGCCTTAGCAATTACCTCTTAAGCTTCATATAAGAAGCACTTCAACCATGTGAAATACTTAAACAGCACACTTTCTATGAGGAAACAGTTATTTATGGTATAAAAAAAGTAATTACAGCCAGTAGATGGCATCATAATAACTTAAGTGATATTTCGTCTTATTCATACTTCGGCATCTCCTAGTGTTTAGGAGGGCTGATTTCTCTTCTGCACTGTTTAGGAATGGGATACTATAAAAGCAATCAGTTTCCTCCTTTTTACTTGTACTATATTTTGAAAGAAATGCAGTAAGTGATCTTCGAGATTATGTCTTATGTCCAGGGTTGAGCCTTACTAAACTCAGGGAGATTTGTACATGAACTTACAGAGTTCACATACCCCTAATAAGCAACTCAATATATGGCCGTACTCCAGTTTCACAGCCCTGGTCTGTAAAATAATATTTTAGGAGCAATAGTTTCATTGTGAAAACAAATTTGCACCGAAACAAGCAATGCTTTATAAACAAGGGAAGAGCAGTGAATATTGTCTAGCTGAAGTCCAGGAAATTTTTGATACTGTTTCCTGTGATATGTCCATAGAGAGAGCTGATGAATTATTAGCTGGCTGAACAGTGAGGTGGATTCAAAATTGGCTGAACAGTCAGTTCCCTATGGCAGTGATTGGTGGCACAAAGTCTACTTGGAGGCTGGTAACTAGAGATGAGCACAAGAGGCCAATACTGGGTCCAGAACTGTTTAGCATCTTCATTAATCATCTAGATATTGGGGCAGAGTGCACCCTCAGCAACACCACTAATACCAAGCTGGGAGAAGTGCCTGATCACTGGAGGGTACTGCCAACCAGAGGTATCTCAGTGGGCTGGAGAAATGAACTGACAGGAACTTCACAAGGCTGAACAAGAAGCACAAAGGTCAGCCACAGAGGAGGAGTGAACCAGGCACGAGTACGGGCTGATAGCTGACTGTGAAGAAGTTTTACAGAAAAAGGAGCTAGAGGTTCTGGTGGACACCAGGCTGACCATGAGCCAGTAGCGCATCCTTGCAACAAAGGCAGCCAGTGGTGTCCTGGGTGGCATTAAGAGGAATGTTGCCAGCATATTGACAGAGATAACTCCCCTCTGCTCAGCACTGGTGGGGCCACACCAGGAACACTGCATCCACTTCTGGGCATACCACTTGATATTCTAACATTCAAAGACCTATACACTTATTTATATATATGTACGCAATGAGACAGCATACAGAAATCATGTTATGAGAGATTAGGCTATATTTAGTGCTAGAGATCAAAAGAGGAGAGCATGCAGAAAATTACAATTCTATTTTTTAATTTTAAATTTCATAGTAAGAGGAAGTGTGAAAATACTCCAGACAAGAGTCAACAGTAATTCCTACGTGCCTACTGTGTGGTTTCTTTTGCATTAGACATTGCAGATACCTCTGCTCATGAAAATCCCTATAGGCAGTATAAAAGAAAGAGCCTCCAGCACAGAACTATCAGTCCTAGCCAACTTTGATTTTATCATGTATACAAAAGGCTAATATCAAGTCAATACAAAGTACTTGAACAAGGTCATTTTCTTCAGCTATTATAGCTTTTTCTGTTTTCCTTTCTGCATGCTCCTCTAGTGTTTCAGGTTTGCAATATATTGACCTCATAAATACAAGTATTATTCCTGGAAACAAGCAGGACAGTATTCCACTGGGAAATGAGCAATCTAATCAGAGTTGTTTTTTACTTTAATTGTTTGTGATAAAACCCATACAATGCTGCAGGAAAGGTTAGAAAAGCACATCACACACTTCTAGTATAAATCAAGGCAGCCTGACTTCCAACATGACATTAATCTTGTTCTGAGGTAAATATTAGTCAGAAGACAAATATTGCTCAGAAGCCATCCTGCCCTATGTAATCAGCTTGACATTGTTTTTGTGCAGATTTGACCAGCCACAATGGAAGGGAAGCAATCTGTACTCTACAAGAGAGCCATACAGAGTATTAACAACAGACCTCATTTCTTTCAGTCAGATATGAACAAACACAAATGTGTTGAGCAGCCTATATACAAGCTTTGTTAAATAAGAGAAGTTATGTTGTTCTCCAGTTGCAATGATTATTGCTTAGATCCCAAGGATCTCATTGAAGGAAAAGTAATCACTAGAACTGATCCCAGGAAAAATATTCTTACACCCAGTTACTTACCCTTCTTCTCAACCTTGATGCTTTAGAGAGCTTCAGGAAAGTCAGATGTGGTTTGAAGTCCTTACTTCCTGAAATGTCGAGATTCATTTCAATAAAGCATTCTTCCACAGCTTCTGGAAAAAGAAAATATAAGAAAGGAATAAGTAATAGTGTGGAGGTAGAGAAAAATATTTACAGGGGGGTTAGACAAAAAGCCATTATCCCTGTCTTGAGCAAGATGGTTAAAACACACCCCAGGTAACCACTTGCTGCACTACCACAGGCAACAGAAAAATCTGAGAAAAGTACTCAAAACCAAAGTTCTGCATGACATACAGACATAAGCTGTAAACCTGAGACTAGATCCAAACTTCTGTGTTTGCAACACAATTCCTTCTGAATTCATAAATCCCCTACCAAATGGTGAGCTCAAGAAAGCATCTGTCCATGGCAGGCCTGCCAGGAGCAAGATGCAGCCACCACCAGTGGCCACAGCTGGGGTCTGTGGCAGAGCAGATTCTCCCCAGTTACTGCAAACAGCAATGCAAGAAGCAAAGAGCTTCCAGAAAAAAAAAAAAAAAAAAAAAAAAAAGGCTAGGTTCCCAAAACTACTACAACACCACAGCACTTAAAGCCATTCAGGAAGGAACATGAACATCACACAAACATAATACTCCCTCCCCAGATACAAGTGTAATACAAAGTGTTTATGATGTCACTGGCTTAAAAACTTCAGTCACGTATTTATAAATCCATAAGGTTTTACCCTTCATAAAAAAAATACATGGAACTCCAGGATTTATATTCTTCAAGGCATTTCAGCTAAGGATTTTAATGACAAATCAAAGCAAGCTGGACTGTTCTTGGTTTTCATGGATTTTGGGGATGCATAGTCTCAAGTATAGCAAGGTAAGGTTTGCATGAGGCAGATCCCTACAAGCCTGGGAAAAACAGATGTGTTGCTCAACAGTTGAATTTAAACAGTGAGAAGTAATTCCAAAATTACACTTAAAGCCTTGGCTAAGGCTGCAGTACTTCTATACCTTGATTGTATAAAGCAGATAAAATAGTGGGGGGCGGGAAATCTGCATTTTATGGAAACCTGCAGCATTTGTAGCTCTTCCAGTCAGACCCCCCCCCGTCTTGACATCCATTTCTGTTACTGCTTAATTGCTTAGGCACTGAAAGAAGGAGGTTCAATGTTGAAACTGTAAAAAATAGCATATTACATAGCAGATGAGTGCCTTTTTTGAAATCCCCCTGCTTCCATTTCATTTTTCCACCTATCAGGAAGTTTCACTACATGTGTCTTCACTAGTTTGTCACATGCATTTGTATCAAGGCCAGGTCTCTGGCTTGAAGTTCAGCTAATTAATAGTTTAAAATGTTTCTTCTCAGAGTATTTATGAGGCAACAGCAGCTGGGGCTGTCTGATCACTTTGCCAAGGCAACTGCTTTTTATATTTTCCATCTGGAAAACACAAGGAATACGATCCAGTTGTCCAAACAAGCATCTAATGTCCTTTTAGGTGCCCTACAGGATGTCCACCTGGCCTCCAGCTGCTGCTGCAGAAGGTACAGCCAGGCTGTAGGTCTGCTGTGAGTGCTGCAAATACCTTAGGGCATCTGAAAATGGTCCTAGGTGATTATGGTTAGGTATCAAACAACCTAAAGTGCCCCTGCTACTTTGTCAAAAAGTACACATTAACATGAAGAATTTCTGTATATTAAGTCTTTTTGTTCCCATGTCAGTTGGTCAAAGCACAGCAAGCCCCAGAGAAAAAACACCACAAAAGAGTGTGTAAGCTCCTTCTAGAGCAAAAAGCCTTTCCTCATGCATCATCCAGCATGCAACCTCCCCCAGCTGCATAAAAAGGAACCAGGTAGATATTAACCTAAGAAAGAAAATCTGAAAATTGCATCTCCCCTTGGTTGCCACCCAGCCTCCAGAACAGCTGGAAGGGGTTCTTAATAGAAGGTGAAGGTCTTACTGCCATGAGCAGATTTTCATCAGAAAAGCAGATGATGGAAGAAAGGTCAAGGCCAGCAATCATCTTTAAAAAGTAGGTATGGTGACAAGGCTCCTGGATGGTGTGCCCAGTCCATGCCAGGCTGGCACTCAATTTTCCAGACCCTGTCTTCTCTAGCTGAATGAAAAATATCCTACAAAAGTCCCAAGACATCCTAAGCAAGCAGTATCTTTTCTTCAAAGTGGTTGAGGCCACTAGCAGCAAGATAAACCCAGGAGCACTCAGAATTTACCAATTAATTGCACTTAATTGATCTAGAGATAGGTTAACTCTCCACTTTAAACTGAAGTCCATGATGCAGTACCAAAAGCAGATGGAGGGCCAGTCACCTGGCCAATGTCAGGAACACTTCAGAGGCTAAATATTTCATTAGAGCAGGCAGAACTCTCAAACTTGCTGACAAACCATCAATAAGGGCGTGATGAGGCAGAGACAGCTGACAGGAGTGTCTTGACCTTTGCCAGCCAAATCACTGGCCCATCATGCTGCTCAAAAAAACCAGCATTTAAAATTCACACCTAGCTCATGACAACCAAAAATATTGACTAAAAGGTAAGGAAAAAATCCCTATTCATTGTATAACAATTAATTCAATTGCTTTGCTGAGAGGAGGGGAGACAAAACCCCATCTCTTTGCAGATGTCATTGAAAGGATAGACTTTGATACATATTTGCATAATTCCCAGACTCATTAAGTTCTTGAAATGGTCAGAAGTTATGCAGAATAGAACAACACTGGAAGCTACAACTCTCTGAATAGCAAAATCATTGTTAACAGAGTTAACAGCTTGAAAACTGGCAGCTTGTCTCCCAGTCAAGGAATTATTTCAGGCAATCAGTGAACAATCATATTGCATTAAAAACACAAGTACTGGCAGAATATTCCCAGGGCTTGCAATCAAATTTTTTCTCCTCTATCTAATTAAGGAGTTCAGATCAGAAGATAGATATTAGGTAGATATTAGGTTTCCCAAACCCTGAAGATGCAGGTTATACAGGCAGAGAAGATGAAGGATCTGCCACCCACTATTGCGATGGCTTTTAGAGCTAATGCAGGTCCAAGATGATATTTAAAGAGCATCATAGTATACATTCTGCAGAACCAAAATTAAACACTTCTGATGGTGATAAAATAGCATGATAAAGATGGACCTTGTATGGTATGACTCATTGGGAACAAAATCCTCAGTTAAGCAAGACAATGAGTTCAGGGAAAACCAGTCACTTACAGATGAGGAGTGAGGTATTCATTTCTGTATCTTTCAGGAGTGAGCAAAGAGCCAAGGCAGTGCTGTCAAAACAGTCAAATCAGGCATCAAAAGAATCAATCAGCCCCTTATTTCTATGGCACTGAATTGTATATATATTGTAGACAGGCGTGTACCAAATATGATCTTACAGGAAATTGCATCGTCTGCCTTCTTTGTTAACTTCCAGTCAAGATTATTTCCAGTTAAAGCCTTGAAAAGAAGCAGTTTGTGCATGGGCAAGATTGTTGAGATTGTAATCCTAATAATTAGGGACAACATTAGAAAAGCACAGCTGCTTTGAGTCAAAATTAGCTTTGGGATGGATGGAACAATAAGAGAAGCGAAGGCCAGAGTCAAGCAAGAGGTAATGGATAGTCAAGTGGCTAATTTTATATAGCTGAGGCAAAGAAGCTGTTCATAAAAGACATTTGTCTAATTATATCACTGACTACTTAAGAGGTAAAATAAACAGGAGGATAAGAACTATAATACCAAAGCTAAGAACTGCAGGAGGTCAGAAACAGCATCAACAAAAGGAAAAACAGACTGCTCCAAGAATCATATTCTTTGAAGTTTACACAGTGTCTTTGTATTGCATGACTCTTTGAGAAACATTAGTTGAACTATGCTTCCTTTTTGCTTAGTATGAAAATAGCAAGGAAAAATCATATTGATATTTGATTTTTTTATATTGATTATTGATGTATATTGATTATTTCTGTTCTGTTGGAATGGAAGCCCAGGACACAGATTAGGTTCTGCATTGCAGGCTAAAGCAGGTCCTAAAAGCAGAACTGCATAGGGAGAAAGAAGAGAGTATCAGGCCCTTCTGAAACTTTACTCAGATGCAGGTAGGCAGATCAAAAATCCAGAACATCTCATAAACCCTTCAGTGCTTTGGGAAATTAGAGCAGAGGACAAGCTATTCTTTCACTTCTGTTTCATCTTGTACAGTGGAAGGAAAAGACTGATTTGCTGGTGCTATACACACATATGCAGACAAATACTGATTTTTGTCACCTCCCACCCCAGAGGTACTTATGATTTCATGCATATTCCAGTTTAAAGGAAGTTCTTGTATAAGCAGCTGGGGCCAACACTTACTAAGCTTTCATATTATTGAATGAGCAGGGCCTCAGCTAGAGGTGTCACTTTGAACACTGTGCACACCTCAACCTCAGGCCTGTGAGCTTCCAGCTGCAGAGCAGGTTATATTAGATTTGCTGTGTGATCTTCACATGAATGTCTGTGCATCTCACTTGTTCCATAGTAGAACAGATAACCTTATTTTAGGCCTAATGCTCTCCAGGAACCCAGTTGTTGGCTTCATATTTAACAAGTAAGAAAGAGAGGAGATGAGAGGAAAGGCAGCACATCACAGCCGTGCACAACAGCTTGGGCCAGCGCTGACAGGAGCTGCTGGACTCAACAAACTGGTTTATTACAAGTGCTAGAGAATGAAGTTTTGTACTTACCTGCAATTCTGCTAAGCATTTTCTGGTCTTCCTCCAACATTTTCACATATAGCACTTGGTTATTAAACTCTCCAATCCCATGGAATGTCAAATTAAGGTCTTTACCCTGCAAGATGCCTTCCACTTTAGTCTTGCTTTGCTTCAGTGCCAGAACAGCCCTTAAAAGTAATCAATATATAAATGCTGAAAATTATTAGGTTGTTTACATATTGAAATATTGTTTTTATTGCCAGCCAATATACCTGATTTTGACCACTCTGCAGCACTATGCAAGGTATCACAGGCACACTTGTATTTCATTGCTTATTCTTTTGTAACAGTTAGAAGATTTCAAATAAATTACATCTTTCACTTCAACCTTAGCTTATGAATTAGAAGTGAGTTTTGTGAGTGAAGTGAACATTCAAAATATTAACATTCCAGAAAAACTATGAATATATGCTATTGAAGAGTCAAAAGGGATAAAACTGAACTTCCATTTGTGGCATGTAGTTTAAAACTTTATCACTGTCATTTTCAACTGGTTGACTAATTTTATTCTTAAACTAAAACAAATTCACTCTCCCACCTGAAGCACAATTAGAATTTTTCTCCATTATACCCTCCTATTCCAGTCTAGGTAAAAAGTATCAGATTGATGGTTATGTTCTCAGCTTTGCATCCCATGTTAATAAAGTTTAAATATGCACCTTGCTGTGCACAGAAATCTCAAAAAAAAGTGAATTATCCAAAGGCATTAATACTGCAAATTAAAATATTTTTCTTAAAGACACAGAAAAAAATATAATTAAATTTCTAAATATAGATACCAAGAATTCCAACAACTTAACACCTGCTGAAGTTTTACCCTGGTGTCCCAGGAAGGGGAATCCTGCCAGTCTTCAAACTGAGTTTGACCAGAAGCCTTCTACTAAGGTTTCATGCTTCTAACAAACTGCAACATGATTAAGGATGGCAAGATACCATCCCATAACTTCCTGGGCCTTCTGCAGCCATATTTACTTTATCATTACACCTAAAACAAGCTTTGAGTGCATTCATTCCACTCTTTAAAAATCTTGGACCTGTGTAGCATAAAAATAGAAATCTAGGCAGTAAAACCCACACAGTACTTACTAATGCTCTTTGGAAAGCCTCTTTAATGCCTACAAAGGCCACTTCACCCAGCATTGTGAACAGCCCTCACCACTACACTGGAGTTACTTCAGCTATAATGGCATAAGAGCAGCTTCTTTCCAAGACTCATGGGAAGCCAGCAATAAAGATATAGCAAGGACAGGACTGAAGTTAGAAAGAGTGAATTCTTTGCAGCGGATTTTGAGTTTTCCACCTTAATAAGCATGGTTAACCTAGTCCTTCATTTAAGTTCATAATGTCTAAGCAAAAATTAAATACTACTAAGACAACTTCTTCCATCAAATGGTTTCTGTTGCAAGGGACCTTAATTATCAACTACTTCCAACCTTCCTGCCATGGGTCAGAACACCCTCCAGGAGATCAGGTTACCTAAAGCCTCATCCAGACTGCTTGAATATTCCACAACTTCTCTCTGTTCAGGGCCTCACTGTAGTAAAGAATTTCCTATCAGTATCTAACCTAAACTTGTCTTTTTCTAGCTTGAAGCCATTCCCCCTTGTCCTATGTCAATGTAAAAAGTTCTGCTCCATCTCCTGCCCTTAGATTTGAAGGTGCCTCCCTCCCCCTGTGAGGGGCTGGGCCCCCTGTATCAGCAGGGCTGCTAGTTTAAAAAGTGAGAAACAATTAAGCTCAAGGCAGTCTTTCATATGACAGCACAGAGCAGTGGCCACTGAACTACAGCCTCGTTTAGAGGAACTATGGAGGCAGGTAAAAGATACAGGATGAAAAACGTTTGGCAAGGCAGGTCTGCTTTTCATTAGGTATGTCCATTATTTTTACATTACAGACACACATCCACTCTTAAGTTCATTAACACTACTTAGCTCCACTCACCTCCCTAACCAATTGATTCCCATTTTGATTGCTGCTCTCAACTAGCTTCCTATCCTCTTGGACATCAGCCTGCCCAGTCAGCAGCACTGGCACAGGGTTTTATTACTGAATTACTGTACACTGTATTCTGCATGTCTCCTTAGCCCATATAACTCTCCTAATTTTTTCCTTCAGACCCTTAAAAAAAAAAGTCTCCAGAATGAAAAAATAAAGCAGGTAACTTTGAAATAAGGCACACACAAGCCTGTCATATGCATCTTAATCATGCTTAACTGGTGCTGCCTGTATGGGCAGGAGAGGTTTTTTCCTAGTCATATTGGGTTTTTTGACACCTTTCCAGCCAGGCATTCTGCTTTACACCCCAGCAGATCCTGTGTGACACTCATATGGTGTTGAGGCCTGTTTTTCATTCCCGTGCTGATAGGTGCCAGGGCCCCTGGAGAAAGGGCTGTTCTCACCAGATTCCCACCTCTACCACATGATGCCTTCCCAGGCACATAAAGGCCTTTCCTTTCTGCCTCCTTATGTCAAGGAGTTCCAGGTTTCCCAGTGTGGTACAGTAAGATAAGGCTTAGGGAAAAAACTGCAGCAGACTGGCATTATTTTCTGGACCTTTCTTTCAATTCCAGCCTTCCTGACCACGGGGTAGGTTTCCTCAGTCATCTGTCAATAGCTCCATCTTAATTCACAGGGCCCCAGAGACAGCTCACTGCTTGAATTCAACAAGAGAGCAGCTTGGGAAGGAACTAGGCAGATTTTTTTTTGTTGTTTTCTTCTTCATGCAATGTATCTTCACAGCTAACATTTTCCAGCTGATAAAAGTATGGCTGAGTCGAAAAGCTATGGTTTCTCAAAAGACAGCAGCTCAGGGAAGCTTACATCTGTTGAGCTAATTTGTGGTAGTAAAAAGCTGAAAGCTGTAATACTATTTACAGCCACACTGCTTTTTCTCTTCACCCCCTGGCAGATAAGAAAATTTCAATCTCTGATGCATCACAGCTAGCTTTTGTAAAGATCTTTCCCCACAGGTACTGAAAGCAAGCCAGAAACTGATAAAAAAGTTTAAGAGGAATTGTGTGTAGGCTCTAATAAAACATAATGATTCACAATAGCAGCAGTAAGGTTACCACATTTACAGAAAAATTAGCTGCTCTTGAATTTGGCAGGATTCTTACTTTTTCACTTCTTCTTCTGTTCTCAGATGAGCTACTATTATAGTAAGGTGCATAGTTTGAACAGGGAGGAGAGCTCTTGACAGGTCAGGCTCTTTAGAGAATATGAGTTCTTGAACATCTTCAATTCTGTCCAAAATCTGCAGTGGAGTAAACAGGAGAAAGAAATAAATTTTCATTTTGAAATGCCTACGCATTACTGGAAAAATTCAGAATGCCAAAGCTTTACACAACCAGAAATGCAACTCAGTGTTTAAGCCAGGAACCCACAAAGCCACTTTCCTCTCCTCCCCACCCCAGATTTATCATGCAGCAACTTTCAGTTTCATACTTGATTTTTCAGGAATTGATTTATCTATTTTCCTTTTTAAAAGCCTACAGGCTAAATTCATAGCTCTCCTGTGAACCAGAAGCCCCAGATCTTGAAGTAGGTGTGAATCTGACCCTAAGAAAGTTAGATAAAACTCACAGCACTGTGTAAATATTAATGGGATCTTCATGCAGTTGTCAGTTGTCAATAGACTGTGGAAATTAAATGGCATTTCCATAATTAATCTTATGCCATTTTCTGATTACAAGTTTGATCACAGATTAAACTGATATCTCTTCCCAAAAGAAAAATGTAACAGCAAACGAAGTAAGAAAAGGCTGGGTAAACCTGCTGTTTTCTGAGCCAGTGTTTCTCAGAACTGTGGCAAATTTCTGGCTCTTGTGGATCTATCTGTGCCTTTACACACTTGACTCCAAAGATTTTTCTTTTTTCGATATGTGCTGTTAAGGTTTATAAGCCAGCCATGGGAACAGGCAGGAGAGAGAATAATTAATTTATGCAGCTACTAAGTATCTGGTGGAATCCCAAGCTACAAAGAAATCATTTATAGATTTTCAGGTTATTTCAGTGAGAAAACTCTGCCTTACATGCCTAGGTGCTCACACATGTTAGAGCTGCCCTTTATCCTTACACAGGTCGAAACAGCTGGGTCAATATGCTTTCGTTTTGCAATCTTTCTCCATAAAGACTAGCAGCCATTGTGCAGCCCAGTAAATAGTCCCACAACCTGCACATCAGAGGAGATTAGCATAAAAAGTTCCCAATAAACATGAGGATAAAAGCCACACACAATCAAAATAACCATTTGAAGATACAAACTGCCTGAATTCACCGACCCTTACAGTACATTTTTCACTGACTGTACATTAAGTTAATTCCTACTGCAACTGAAGCACAATTTATTGCAGCCTGCTATTTACAGCATATGTTTAGATTGTGAAAACATTGAGCAGGAATCAAGCCATCAAGCTGTCTGACCACACAATCTACAACCTTTGCCTCAACAGACTAGGCTAAGTATTAACAGTAATTCTACAAAAGAGCCTCCTGTTGTTCTCCCTTCCCCAGTCTTTCCAAGAATATACTTCAAATAAGAAAGAAGACCCTTTTGCATTTCAGTTTAAGGCTCAGGCATCTGGGAAGCTGAATTTGAGTGAAATTCTCTCACACAGATATTTAACTATTACAGAGCAGTGTTGGTGTCTTTTCTTATCTTCACAACTTCCTGCTCCTACTCCCATGGGAACAGTCTACCCTATCACTACGCTTTTTTTATTTTTTGGTGCATCAATCTTTAGCACTTTTCTATAAATGCTGTATAATTGATGGGATAGCTGGGGGGTTTTTGGGAAGTGCAGAGCAGGAAGGAAGCACTTAAAATGGAGTACTGAAAGCCTGAGACCATAACATTCTTAGAGTCAATCCAGTACAAGCCTGGTGTCCAGCCTCCCAGAGCCCTGCTCAGACACAAAGAAAAAAGAGCAGTGCACCCACCAGGACTGGCACAGGGCTTTTCCTTTCTACTCTTGAAAGGGAGAAATATGTTGACAGCCCTAAGTCCTGCCACTTGTAGAGCTCTCTTAAATAATTAAGGCAAAATAATTATTTCCAAACACTAAAAACATCTTTAAAACCTTTCTGTAATAGGCAAGGTCTACAGAGCAGCAGACAACCAAATTGTATGGTCAGTGAGGTCAGGAGCCTCTGCTTTAGAGGTAAGAGCATCTAAAATTGTCAAAACACTATTACATGTGCACATACATATGTTGTGTATATATGCACACATTTGGCCAGCAGGTCAAGGGAGGTGATGCCACCCCTCCACTGCATTTGGTGAGACCCCACCTGTGGTGCTGCATCGAGATCTGGGGGCCCCAGCACAGGAAAGACTTGTTGGGATGAGTCCAGAGGAGTTACACCAAGATTACTAGATGGATAGAGCACCTCTCCTCTGGGGAAAGGCTGAGACAATTCTGTTTGTTTCTGTTCTGTTCCTCCTGGAAAAGGAAGTGCTTCAGAGTAACCTCATTGCTGCCTTTCAAGAGCTGAAGCAAGACCAAAAGACAGAGAGGGACTTCTTACAAGAGCATGGAGTGACAGGACATGGAAAAAGGAGATTCAAACTGGAAGAGAGTAGGTTTAGATGAGATATTAGGAAAGAATTATTGATTGTGAGGGTGGTAAGGTACTGGAACAGGATGCCCAGAGGTTGTGGATGCCCCATTCCTGGAAGTATTCACAATCAGGTTGAATGGAGCTCTGAGCAACTTGGTCTAGTCAAAGGTGTCTTTGTCTATGGCAGGGGGGTTGAAACTAGAGGACCTTTAAGATCCCTTCCAACTCAAACCATTCTATGATTTCTTTACCCACACTATGTACATATGGCAGCTTTACAGTACTGCACTCTTCAGTGCTTCTTTCAAGGCCTCACACAGGACAGAGTCAGGTCACTGACACCCTTAAGGGTAGCACTTCAGAGGAACACAAACTTGGAATATCTTGGGCAGAGCCTCCAAACAGGGATGCCAGAGCTGCCAGACTACCAGAGCTCATGTGAATGCAGGGACATCTGTAAGAGTAGAATTTGAGGAAAAAAAAAAGGAAAAAGAAAAAAGAGAGAGAGAAAAGATAAGGAGAAAAAGAGGTGAAAGACATTCATTGGGCTCCACAGGACATGGTCCCAGGCCATGTATTAAGACACTCAAATCTCATTAAAATAGCAGAATAAGTTAAGCATTCATGACCCTTCAAGCTGTTCCATGATCTCATTCCTCAGATGGCAGGAAAGTTTCCAGTTTCTAGCTTAGATTTATTCTTTGCCCACTTCATACCCATTTGTTCATCTGCCAACATTGTCTTCAGCTTACACAGTCATTTTCTCTTCCTGGCATTTATCTTCCTGATGTGCTCTGCACTTTTGTTCACCTCTCAAAAGCCAGTCATATGTAGGAATCACAAAAGTTATATGAGGCCATCCTCCAGACAACCTTCAAAGATCATTTTCTGCCCAAGACAAAGCCAGAGCAAATAATTGCCTACCAAGAGGAAGGCACCTTTGACGCCTCCCTCTAACACATGCATAAGTGTTTTTACACTTAACTTAGGGAAAAACAAAAACTCAGAAACCTGCCAAAGCAAGCTACTGTGCTGCAACTGCTTGTCACACTGGAGAAAAAAAGGGAACAATTCTGTGCAACCGATACATCATTCTTACTTAATCATTGCCTTTCAGCAGCATAAATAGTCATGCCAGATACTGCATGAAAGCTTAAGCTAGGGAAAAAAAAAGGAACCAAGTTATATACTGCAACAAAAAATATCTATTTTGTTCATTGGGAAACACACCATAAACTAGTAGTGGGCACTGATAGTAGAATGGTCTATTTTCACTCTGTAAAAGACAAAATCTGAATATTAACTTGTCTGAACATTTTTATAGGAAAAGATACCAAGATACATATATATAATAAAAATATTAATAATTTACAAATTTTATATCCTGTTTCTCCATTCTGCCAATGCTAGCTGAGCACAGAATTTTCTGATTCAAATTAAGATTTTTCCCCTGCCTGTCTCCCTCAGGTGAAATAGTCTGCTCGTTGTCTTGGCATTTCAAGGCTTCTCTTTCTCTTCATAAAATATTTGAGTGCACAGTCATCTGTAGTCATCACTACATAAAGGCCATGGGGCACATCCCACCTCACAGTGCTGCTGTTCCACAATGCTGGAACAGAATCCCATCCAAGCTCCCTTGCGATAACAGCAGATATGGGGACAAAATGAGAGCTGTCTCTGCTTTTGCTTACCTTGAGCAGCTGCAAAAAAAACCCATTGTCATCTGCAGGTAACAGTGGTCTGTGAAAGGCTAAAGGTTAAAAAAAATCTGTCCATAAAGGCTTTGCAGTGCTACTTTGGAAATGAGACATTCCATAGTCTTCTTTCACAAAGCTTGGAATGAGCCTTAAAATTCATAGAAGCAGAATGGGAATAAGTAGTTCAAGGTGAGCCAGTATCTTCCCACTTTCTTTACAAGTACAAAGAGTTGTGCAGAAGTTATCCAAGATTCATTTGAAGTCCCTAACTAGTAAATAAATTGTGAAATATCTCTCTCTAGCTATTGTATCATTTTTGGAATTTACTTCCATGGATCATAAGACAGGGCTTGTAGCAGCCAAGCCCAGCAGGACTGTATGACTTATTTCAGAAGCAGCATTTATTGTGGTGACTGGAACAATTTAGGTCTCCCACAAAGCCTCTAGAAAAGAATATGTCTGTTTGTATTTCCACTGTTTGCTGCACTTTGGTTTAACATTATGGAGGTGAAATGATCTGTTGCTTTTTCTAACACTGCTTAAACATGGGAGTCACAGAATACAGCACACCTTGAAGTATGAGCATAGAGACTGCACTCATGGATTCTTGAAATTAACCATCTATCTAGGATCTCAGGGCAAGTTTAATGGATAAAAGATGGAGAAGAAAAAACAGATCAATTCTCTATAATCTTCTGCAGAAGAGAAGGAAATTCTCATTCTCCACTGTGAACTTTGGTGGAAAAGACTATGAACAAACAAATCAATACCCTTGCACTAAATACAGACCTAAGAAAATGTAGGATGGGACAACACAAGATGATGAAAGCCAGGTCTTTTTTTTTGAAAAAAGATTACAGAATAGAAAATACTAGTGATGAGAGACACCACCTCAGACCCTATAGGAAGGGCAGTGACAATCATGGAAGTGATATTTATTTTTTTTCTTTCCTAGCAGTAGTTGAAACATGGATGTGTATAAACACAGCTCAACCTACAAAAACAAAGCACAGTACATAGGGGTTGCTATGAGGAAGTTAACTCCATCCCAGACCCAACAAACCACTTGTGGTAAGCAGGCAGAATTTGATCACTCTTGGCTTGTTAAGCACCCTTGCAATTAAGACAGGAAATTAGGCCTAAGTTTAAAGTTAAGTTTTTTAATAAAACAGCTAATTCAAAGTACCTGATCATCTGTTATTGGAATAGCAACAAAATAATTCGGAGACTCTCTTGGACGTTTCTTGGACTGTTCTCGTGCTAGGTCTTCCTTCTGGTCTTCTACAATCCCCCTGGACCCTTCTTGGATATTACCTTGCTCCTGTCTCATCACAGTATGTCTTTGGTCTTCCTTTTGCAGAGGCTGGTCTGCTTTTAGATGTTCCTGCTCTTGGCTCTGGTCCTGCAGCTGTTCCTCTGTCACCATCCCATTCAGGTCTGCTTTGTCTCCAGCCTGCATGTCATGCACCTTCACCACTTCTGCTCTTTCCTCTTGGCACTGGTCCTGCTGGGGTTTTTCCACTTCTCCTTGATCCTGTTTTTGGCTCAGAACCCCCTGTGGCACTAGTTCCACCACAGCAAGCTCTCTCTCACTTTCAGATCTTGTCATCATCCCTCCCTGATTTTTTGGGGCAGTCCACTGTTCTCCATTATCTAACACTTCCTCACACTGGTTCTGGAGGGAGGTTACCTCTTCTGGGTCACAGCCCAACTGCAGCTGCACAGTGACCTTGATGCCAGCAGTGCCTTGTCCCCACTCCTGGGGCTGTAGCTGTACAGTTACTTGTGGGAGAGATGGCCCTGGGCCCTGCTGCTGTAACTGCACCTGCACAGTCACTGATGGGGCTTCCCATCCTGGGCTTGGCCTCTGAGGCTGCACCTGCACTGTCACCTCCGGGCAGTCCCACCCCTGGCTCATGTTCTGGGGCTGCACCTTGACAGTCACTTTTGGGAGCTCCCAGCCTGACTCTGTTGGTTGTGGTCCCATGTCTGGGGCCGTGCCTCCTTGCCCTGGCTGCCTCTGTGGATGCACATGGATATCATTCCCTCCCTGCGGCTCTTGAGCAGAGGGTGGTAGCTGGGCTGCTGAGGAATGATCTTCTTGCTCCTGCCGTACTGGTGAGATTTGCTGAGTTCCTTCAGGGCTTTCATCCACCTGAATGGGTTCCTGAACCACCTCTTGAGGCTGAGCTCCCTCTGGACTCCCATCTACCTGAACTATCTCTTGATGCCAGCTCCTGCACAGTTCCCGTTTTATCACCTTCATCCTATAATGCCAAAGATTTCTTCTCCTAGGCGGGGGGTTCTCCAAGATCCTCCTCCTCTTTCTTTGGGGTTTGAAGTACTTTTTTAAAGGAACTGGGGGAAAAGAAAAGAAAAAAGCCTAACAGTTATTTTTTTAAAAGTATTTCTCACAATAGTTGAGTCTGGGTTCAGTTCTGCAATTGGACTCACTATGGGGGAGCTTTAACCTGGTCAAACAGCCCAGTCTAAAAACCTCTGGAGAGCCTGACAGAAGATTGAACTACTTCTTCTACTCACTGTACTGTGGTCTTGACTTCTGCTCCTGCCCTGATTAGGTCTCCCATGCTTTAAAGCATGAGTACACCATTTCACAGCATGCAGCACCACAGAGACAGAGGCCTTATCAAAGGACTGCAGGTGTGTTGCCTAGAGGTGGTTACTCACAGAGACTGAGAATAGCCTGAGCCAGACTCAGAGGCTGAATTCATACAGAAACAAGATTGCCTGTGAAGCTCTGGTCTCCTCTAACTGCAGCATGTTGCCATCTAATCAGACCTGCACGCATGACTTTTTTCTTTCCTGTGGATACATTACAGGTTTTTTCTACAGCAAACTGCTGCCACGTCCTCATTTATCTTAATGCCTCCCATCCACCCTGTGTCATTCCCTTTTCCTCTTTGGTGAAGCTGCAAAGGGAGATACTTTTCCCACCCATACTGTTAAGATAAAAGTAGTGAAGGCACTGAAAGAGCAAAAGATTTTTTTTTTCCCCCTCCTCAATTCAGAGGTTAATTCCACAGAAGCCCAAAAAACCAAGAATATTTCTTAATTGGGCAATGCAGCTCAATTGCACTCAACAGAAACAGCACTTGTTAAAGAAGATGTCTAAGCAAATAAAGTCTACAGACCAAACAGGATTCATCTGTATGAGAAAAATATTTCACACCACAGGTTATGACTGGCCTTGACTAAGTCCTTCCAAGTCATGGCAACGCTGAGGGTTTTTTCCCCCTGAAGCTATAAGAGGTAGGCAGATATTTTTTATAAATCTGCTCTCCAAGACAACCAAAATGTTTGTTCAAATTTCACAGGAAAACTCGATCCCTTTCCACCTCCACAAAACCCACAACCATGAAAAAAGTCAAAACTAAATAGAAAAAGTGTAAAAAAATTGACACACAACCTACATGCTTTAATGTTGGGCAATCCAAGGCAGAGGTAGTAGTTTTCTCCTTATTAAAAAAACAAAAACAACCCCCACCCAAAAAACCCCTTATTTTTGCAGTGGGCTAAAGATGAAAAGCTTAAGAAACTCATATTGAATTCATATGAAGGCTATTATATTTTCTTTCCAGAATTCAGATGTTGGCGCTTTATTCCATAGAAAAGACTAGTTTTTAAAAGGATATTTGAATGTTTGTATATATTTCACATTTAATTTCACTCCTCAGATAGCTACATTACTTATATTCTACTATGCTTTAAGAATTTTTCTGACTGTATATCTAATCTGAAGACTTAAAGAAACTATTAAAGATTTTTAAGATGTGAGAGGCCAAGTGCTAATGAAAGTAGCAACCAATCTTATTTCTCTGGAGGCAAAGCACTGTGGGCATAAACTAGCTATAAAATCAGCTGTTACCCATGATATTTGGACTTGGACTCCAAAAGAAGATTTTTGTCCTCTGGAAGAGTGTTTAATCAGGGTTCTGAAGAATCCCTGATCAGCTCAATGATCCTTAATAAAGGCACAATCTAACATAGTACTGATTTCATCCTGAAACAGCACAAAACTTACTTTCAAACATCTCACTGACATCAGTTTTGACAAAAACAAGCTCTGCCCTTGTTTTCATGTCTTCAATGTCCAAGTGAGGAACTAGAAGAAAAGAACAATATTGAAGTCTCCCAGAGAAGCCCTTTCAACCATGTAACTGCTGTAAAACACTTGTTCATTTTTTAGGTACTTATAATGGCACAGCAACTCCTGAAACACCATAAACTCTCTGCCTTCCTCACAGTCATGGTACTTGACAAAGAAAGCCTTTTTTCTCCTCTCTCAGAAGCCATTATGTAAGTTAAGCCTCAAACCAGTGCAAGCCTTGGTAAGTACCTGTAAGAATAGTTCAGTCAGCTTCAGAGAAAGCAGCATCTAAATTCTCTGTAAACAAGTATTTAGATGCGTGTAGGTGAGTCAAAGTTTAATGCACCTACAGTGACAGGATTTATGCCACTGAAACATCATAAACCCCACTGAAATCTTTGTTTTACTAGCAGCTGTGGCATAACAGAAGTTAAAAAACCCCTCTCTTGCACTCAGCCTAAGCCACTCCATGAAAAATCTTTAAAACAGGTAAAAATTTGTAACAAGCTGCCCTGGTGGTGGACATTTGTTGTTGGCTTTGTTAGGCTTCCTCCCCTTAAGTAACACTTAAAATCATATTGTCTCTCTCCCATTTGTGCCTGCGCAGTAACCTTCAGTAGGGATTTCACAGACTGTCATCAAGTTAGCAAAGACTATGCAACAGCTCAGGTTGAATATAGAAGAATCACATAGAAAGCAGCCTCAGTGTCTTTTACAAGACTATTTTTATGGTTTTCAACAGGTAGCATCAAGGCAGTCGCATCAGTATTACACAGTTCCTTCCCTACACTATTATTTTGCTCTTCAGTCTGTAATGCTTCATATGTGCACATCTCCCCCAAAATTTTCATTAGATAATGCCACCCCCTAAAAAGAGCTAGAGATGCATCTGTTACCCAACCATCCCTACAGCTTTGCAAGTCCTTATAACTATTTTGTGGCTGTCAGTAAGTTGAGAATTAAGGGCTCAGGTTTTTAATGCCTTGACTTAGTACAACCTAAACTCAGAGGTTAATGAGGTGGCAACATCTTGGTCTTTAAAACACTTGGGCACCTGTGTATAATAAAAAGTGGCTGGAGATCCTGAGCAGAAGCATCCTAGAGAGCCCCAGGCTTCTGCCAAGTCCCCCTTCTATCTGTTATTCTGAGCCCTGCCAAGCCATTTAGGCCAGGTGACAACACCAAATACTTGTCCACCCACAGCAAGGTCCAGTGCAAGCCAGGCAGCCAAGAGCTGAAGACTGCAGTCCATACAAATAGGAAAGGTTCCTGCCCCTGTAGCACAGAAATATGCCCTTAGGAGGCCCGGAAAATGGCAGGAAGACCACCCACCTGCATCCAGAACATTTAAACCATGAAGAAAGCTCTTTCTTCAAATAAATAGTTTGTTCCATTTCCAGCCTTTTGACAGACAGAGCTCCTGTAGACCCTTGTATCTCAGCCAGCAGCTCTGAAACAACAAACGCACAAGCTCCAAAGGGAAGCTTCCCCCACCCTCACTCCCATGCCAAAGGCTGGAGACAGATAGTAGCTGTGCCTAACCCTTGATTAAAAGGGTGCAGGAATACCCAGAAGGAAAGCTGACCTGTCCCATGAAGATGCAGGCAGCATTTGCCCAAAGACCTGTCGTTGCTGCTTCAGAACTCAGCCTGATACTTCCCACCTCCTCAACCTCAGAAAAATCAAATGCCCAATGTGGATGAAAATAGAAAATTCAACTCTGCTGCTTTGAATATTAATTGTAGTGCAAAGCAATTCCATAGTAAAGGCTATGGAATGTCTCATTTCCAAAGCAATACGCCAGTATTAAATGTCCATACCACAGAGACACTCTGGACACCAGGCAACATTCACTTCTACCTGGAACCAGATTTTGTGCTCCATAGAAGTGCTGTAAAACTGCTGACTGGCTAACACTGCCTCGGTGTCTCTGAAGGATGATTTAGTCTGCTCACAGCCACTGTGATGCATGCAAAAAAGCCTCTCTTCACAGAAAATAAGCCATGACAGCAGCTTTCACACAGTTCTCCTTCATCAGATAGGTCAGAAACTCCTCAGCTGTGACAGTGGCATGCAAGTTTGCTCGTACTGGTCTGGGGAACCCAAAAACCTCTTTTTATAGGCCTTGCTTTCCACAAAAGTTTTTTTACTCAGTTGCAGGGGAGCAGAATGCAGATGCAGTTTAGTAGCTAGGAGCAGACTTGAATCTCAGGTCCTGAGAGAATATTTTAAATGCTGGAGATGAAGGCAAGATTTACCAGAACCTGGTCAAGCACAGACACACACCTACTAGACTAATTCACTTCTTGTGTTTTGCCTGAGATCTGAATGGCTTCCTGGGCTTTCTGTTCTCCCCCAGCTCCCCTTCCTGACAAAGCTAACAATTTACTGAAGTAATCTGATGTACACGAAGCAAAAGGCATTTGAAGCAAACAACCTTTCCTGCAGCACCCAGGTCTTTTCTCTTAGCAATACTGCCCTCTGGCAAGCCATGCCTAAAACATCCACCTCACATTATAATTACACAAGTTCCTTTCCTCAGTCTTGTGATATATTTATAAGGTCACCAGGCCTTATTTCTCTCTCTCCCATCCCCACAAAAATAATTGCATGCTTTGCAGACTGGACATCTCAGATACCAGTTTTTCCTGCTAAGATGCCTTTTCAGCATTCAGCTATCACAATATTAAAGGGGAGGAAGAAACAGGTGCCACAAATACCCTTAGAAACATCATTTCTATATGAAGTTCCATCCTTTAAATCATCACAGGATGCCACATTCTCTCTTCATTTTATTCCCTGTCAATCAAAATTAAATTAAGTCAGATCAAGGGAAAGCAAATAGAAATTATTGGGCCCAAGTTTCTCCATCTTACCAGTTTATTGGACCTTCATAAGTTGAAATTTTGTTGCAGTTGATGAGAAATGGTAGCAAGAAGGGAGAAAATAATTTCAAGTACAATTAGAGATTATCTGTAAAATATGGTTTCAGCTAGAGAACTTTTACTGAGATGTATTTGGCCCTGTCTCATTGCACCTTTTGCTAGAGCTTTAATACAGGGTTAGGAGGAAGGGTGAAGGTTGGAGGTGATACAGAGTCACAGTTAATTAACCCATAATAGGAAGTGAGTGGCAAAAAACATCAGTGTCCCATGGTCTGTACCTACAGGTTTCTTCTGTCTAGACCAAATCTTTTAGACCAAAGTAAATCCTTTAATTGCCTTATTTGTGTGTAACATTAGCTGTTAAT